CCGGTTTGGCTCAGTGGATAGAACATCAGCCTTCAGATTGAAGGGTCCGGGGTTTGATTTTGGCCAGGGCACATGCCTGGGTTTTGGGCTCGATCCCCAGTGTGGGGTGTGCAAGAGGCAGCCAATCAATGACTCTCTCTCATCACTGATGTTTCTGTCTATCTCTCCCTCTCCCTTCCTCTCTGAAATCAATAAAAAATAACAAGAAATAAATAAAATAAACTGTGAAAAAAGATTTTTTTTAAAAAGAAAGAAAAAACTGGAGAAAAACAAGATAACTTTACTTTCCTCTCCTCTCCCACCACTTCTCGTAAATTCCTATTCCAACTTGGTCACTTCCTGTAGGAAGTCTCAATGTAGGGCTCACAGTCTTAAACACCTTCTCCAACACTTGCCAATCTCCTTTTATAACAGAGAGAACCTGCACGGATTGGGCTCAGAGCTTTAGACAGGCAACAGTGCCTAGCTAGCATTGAATACCATTGTTTTATTTTCACTGTTTTTGGGTGAGGGATAGTTGGTGGTTACCTTCTAGTTGAGAAAAGCAATCATTGGTTTCTATTTACTGTGATCATCTCAATTTTCCTTGTGAGTGACACTTAACTGATATTTTTTCATGAGTACATTTACTGACATTTTTAAATGAGATTTAAAGAAAAATATTAAATTCGTGACACCTTAGAGGTGGTATACAAGCAGGGCAAAAATCAAAAAGGTGGGACTGGATGACAGAGGCTTGAGAAACGCTGCCCCATGAAATTAAAAATAACCCAGCCATGTAATTATATTGCCCTGCCAGTATATTGCAAGTTACCTAAATAGCACAAATTCATAGTAACCCATCACTATTAAAGCACATTTTTGAGGGCTTACGTATGCGGTTACTTTAGCAACAAAGCTATAACTGAATCCTATTCAAACCGCAAGACATACGTGCCTGAAAACCTAATTATTGGAAAATTATAGACCTAAGAAACACAGCTGCGTCTCACTGCACACCACAGGGGCCCCCGTGGTAATCGGATAAAACATGTCTACACAGAAGCCATGTGGAAAGGAAGAGCCCTTCCCTCCATTGTGGACCCTCAACCACCTGTGCCTGCAGAACTGCATGTATTCAGTCATTCATTTGCTCATTTAGTCATGCAATCACTCACTGCAATTTCAACTGAGCCCCGGTGATGTGACCCAGGAATACAATGAAGGACCGCAGTGAACCTCCAGCCCAGAAGGGGACGCCAGATGTCACGTCCCCACCTCACACGCCTGCCACCAGCATTCTGACAAGAGCACCATTCTTTGCTAGCATAGAACCAAGGAACCTTCTTACCCCCAGGGTAGTCAGAGAAGGCTTCTTGGAGGAAGTGGCTAAGTTGAGATGTAAAGATGGAAGAGGAATGGACGAGAGGAGGTGGGCGAGGAGAGGGAGGTGAAAGGGCAGGTGCACCCAGGTATGTGCATGAGCCCTCACATCCCGTGCGCCCCTCATGCCGTGAGCATCTCACCCTGTGCCATCACCCCCAAGTGTGATCCTTGCATTCAAGGATACGTATTTCAAATGCCTTGACCCCGTAGTGCTCGCCAGCAAGGATTCTTCAGTGGCAGAAACGGATATCCAATCCCTACACTGAGGGAAAAGTGAGAGGGCGAGTGGGTCTCCAACATCAGCCTCCCTGTGGGATATGAAAGAGGGATTTGCCTTTGCTGCTCAGAATTTTTATCATAGGCACCAGCCGAGTGGTTCTTAGCCAGGGCTGTACTTGGGACTCTAGGGAGCTATCAAGTCTCCAAGACCAGGCCACACGCAGGACATAGTCATAACAGGACATGCCTAGGACATAACAGACCATTCCCAGGACATACTCATAACAGGCCATGCCTAGGACATAACAGGCCACGCCTATGACGTAACAGGCCATGCCCAAGTCATTAAGTTAGTCTCTCTGGGGGTGGGGCCCAGTGACCAGCAATGTTTAAAGCTCCGCTAGGTGGGGGTCAAGTGTGTGGCCAAGGCTGAGAACTACATAGAAAACCTAACCCCTATGGAGGATTCAAATCTACAAAAACTTCCTGCACACCTACTATGCGCTAGGCCAGTGATGGCGAACCTTTTGAGCTCGGCGTGCCAGCATTTTGAAAAAACCCTAACTTAACTCTGGTGCCGTGTCACATAGAGAAATTTTTTGATCTTTGCAACCACAGTAAAACAAAGACTTATATTTTTGATATTTGTTTTATATATTTAAATGCCATTTAACAAAGAAAAATCAACCAAAAAAAAATGAGTTCGCGTGTCACCTCTGACACGCGTGTCATAGGTTCGCCATCACTGCACTAGGCCCCGGGCCGGGGGCAAGGTGGGGGTTGGTAAGAATCCGGTCCCACAGTCATTTGAGAACCACTACCGAAGGCTTCACCGGCTCTGAACAAATGTGTGCTGGGGCCCAGATCGAGCTGAAAAGTGCTTTTGGTGGAGAATTGCCTGGGGGGTCCGGTTAAAATCAGGGTCTGACTCAGCAGGTCTGGGAGTCTGCCCTTCCTACAGGCTTCCTGTGTCTCCTGTCTCTGCTGGGCCGAGCACTGCCTGTGGGCGGCCGGCTCCCTCAAGGAAACCTCTCCCATCTCAGCTGCTGCTCCTCACCATTTCTCCAGCCCTCCGCCAGCCCTGAGCATCGCCAGTCCTGAGCCTCGCCTGGAGGTGATAACAGTGTGTGGGGAAGAGACAGAATGTATGCTGGCAGCCTGCCAGGTGTGTGTGTGTGTGTGTGTGTGTGTGTGTGTGTGTGTGTGTGTGTGTCCGGCTCCAGAGCCCCATGACAGCCCCGAACCCCCACCCACACCCAGCCCCAGAGGGTGGGGCAGACAGATCTCCAGGAGAAAGGGACCAGGGTGGGGCTGGAGGCGGGGTGCTGGGCCGATGGTTGTCATTAACACTAAACCAGCTGCGAGCAGCAGCCCCAAAGGCAGGGAAATTCAAGAGGCATCCGAGATCAAAACGGCCTCGGAGGCTCTCCTGCAGCGAGTGTTCGTGTCTAATTAATCACCCGTCCTCGCCAAATCAATTGCGCCTGTTTTAAAATCTGCACTCCGAGGGTGAGGGATGGGGCGGAGGTCGGAATCTAGAAAGTCTTTGGAGTGGACTCCTGGGGAGGGCCCGATAGCCATGGACCAGGGGGCGCAGATGGCTTGCAGAGGCCACACTGGTCACAGGAGCTGGTGGGCGTGGTGGGTGGTGAGTAGAGGGAGCCGTGGGTGGGCCGGTGGGCCTGGGGGCCAAGTGGAGACGGTGGTCGCGGACCCAATAGGGTGTTGGCTACTCAGCTCCAGCCCCTCGTGGCCGAGCAGAAACCATGTGTGCATATTTTGGTTTTTGAAAATATCTTCACAATATGGTTTCTTTAAATCCGGAATCCCCCGGCGTATGGAGGCTGCCTCAAATGGTTTTGAAACGCCATGCCATCCATCAAACTGTGCCTGAGGGCCACAGATGGAATGCAGACTGTCAGTGCGTAACCTCGGAAATAGAGACCAGACCCAAGGAATTACTTGGAAAATTAAATGGCGTGTGGGCAGCGACTTCCTCCGGAGGCTCAGAGCAGGGGGATGTGGGCGGGCAGTGTCCTGAGCAGGCGGAAGTGCCCCTGGAGACCCCCAGAAGTCCCTGGGGGAGGCGGGGAGGTGAGTGAGGTCCTGCAAGTAGGGGCCGACTGCCAGGGTGATCCGGGCATTGCTGTCCCTGCAGCCCCGTCTGCCCAACGCCAGGGACATGCACTCCCTTTACCCAACAACACTTGCTGAGCACACACTATGTGCTGGCCTCTTGCCAAGTGCTTTATGGGTATTACCTTGTTTCATCCTCCCAACAACCGTGATACCGTTACCTTCCCTTTACAGATGAGGAAACCGAGGCTCCGTTAAGGGACTCGCCCAAGGCCACACAGCTCCTAAGTGGTAAAGCCGGGGTTCAGACCTGGGTCGTCCGGCTCCAGGCAGATCCCATTCTCTTAACCATACGCAGCCCCGTGTTTCCTAACTCCCACAGAGCCTCTCACGGAGCACAGCACACAGTAGGTGCTCAGGCAGCGTCTGTGACGTTGAAACAGTCTTTGTGCATTGGACCTACTAGAATTGGAGGCTATCCTTTCAACCGGCCTTGTGTTCCTGTTTCGAGAACGGGCTCATGGTTTCTGCAGAGGCAGGTCATGTCCTCATCACTATGTTCAGTTGGTGCTACGTCACCAGGCACCGTCTGCACATAGAAGGAGCCCCCAGCTCCCCTGGCTTCCTTCCGGACTCTGCAGCCTCTTCCTCCCGTCTTGTCTCGCTGCCTCCCCACCCTAGTCCAGTTCTCAGGCCTCCCTCCTGGGAGCTATTTCAGATGCAGCCCCAGAAGCCTGGGCTCGCTCTCTGGCTGCTTTTCCTCTGTTGGGCGCTGAAACCCACAAAGGAGCCTTCAGAGTAGCTTCTCTAGCAGCGGATTTCTCCTCAAAGGAGAGGAGGGGGTTCTCTGCCCAAAGCCAAGCATTTCGGGGACTGTCCAACCCTTTGGGTTTCCCTTGGGAGTTTGAAAGCCCAAGAAGAGCCCTGGCCGGTTTGGCTCAGTGGATAGAGCATCGGCCTGCAGACCGAAGGGTCCCGGGTTCGATTTCGGGTCAAGGGCATGTACCTCGGTTGCAGGGCAGTGCAGGAGGCAACCAATCAATGTGTTCCTCTCACATCCATATTTCTGTCTTTCCCTCTCTGTTCCCCTCCCCCTAAAAATCAATGGAAAAATATCCTTTGGGTGAGGATAAAAATAAAGAAAGAAAAGAAAAGAACAGAAAAGAAAGCCCGAGAAAAAAATTCCCACTGTCCAGAAGGCGGAGCTCCCACCTGTGGGAATTCCATGTCCCCGCCTGCTGCTCATGAGACCTGGGACATAAGACGCAACAAGACAGGCTGTGCTGTTACGGAAACTGGCCACGGAGCCCACAGGCAGACTCTAGATCACGTGATTCTGGTACCAGCCGTGCTGGTCAACGTGCATCCATTTAACAGATATTTATTGCACATGTTGTGTCCTGAGCACTCGAGGTGGGAGCCGGAGAAGCAGCGCAAAGCTGAGGGATCCCTGTGCAAGTTACAGTCAAGAGGTGCAGGGTCCACTCTGAACCTCGGCTTCTTTTTCTGTAAGTGGGGAGCTTGGGAAGATGGCAGCGCCCCTCAGAAGTCCTTCTCCTCCACCCGCGGCGAAGCCCCGCCTCCAGGAGAAAGGAGGCACCGGAGGAGACCCCAGGGAGAGCCGGGGTGCCGCTGCTGGTGGAGTGGCCCCCTGAGGTCATCTCCCCACCCTGGGCCTCGGTTTCCCCGTCGGTAAAGTGAGGAGACTGGACTGCACGATTTCAAAAACTCGTCTGACTTAACCGTCTGTGACTCTCCGATCGAAATATCTCTGATTCTGCTAGGAGAACCCCTTGTGGCTCCAGGAAGGACCATCCCCCTGTTCTGGGAGCAGATCTTCTCCTGAAAAGCAGCAGAAAGGGACTCACTTCTTGCCAGGTGAGCATGAAGGGGTGGGGGACCCCTCCTGGGAGCTGCTCTCCCAGGATCCCCAGAATCACCCCATTTATCTTCCCCATCATGCTCTTAATCTCTGAAAAATTAATGGCACGACCCTAGCTGCCTACAGAACATAGCTCGCCTGCCACCCATAAATCAGGCACTTAGGAGGTGCTCCTGAATAAGTGATAGCCCTCCGGTCAGCGGGCAGGCCACCTGGGGGTGTTTAATGTACCTTTGGGAGACATCTAAGCCCACACCCAGTGCGGGGGGGCGGGGGCATTGCTGAGAAAACAGGGAGCAGAGTGAGATCCAGAGGCTCCCGGAGTCAGCCCGGGTGTTAGGACACAGCCAGGCAGCAGAGCGTGGTTCTAACTTTCTAGAGGAAACGGCCCCCAAAGAGAGAGGAAAAGACGTCTCGGGGTTAAGAAAAGAGACATCAACGCAGAAACCTCAGTGATAATCCCAGCTCTTCCCCAAATCCCCCGCTTGGCCAGTTTTCCATTCATAACGTGGGGGGGTCCCCTAAACAGAGATGCGTCCCACTCTTGGCCTCCTCAGTGGTAACCGCTGACCAACCCCATTTTACAGAGGAGGGGACACGGGCACAGGGAGGTGACGTGACTTGCCCGAGGTCTCACGGCGAAGCGGGGTTCAACCCACGGCCCGACCCCCAACGCCGTGCCCTCTCTCCCGCAGGGGGAAGAACCCTGAGCTCCATCTGGCTGCTCTTCGCTGTTGGGAGCTGAAATCCGCAAAGGACTCCCAGCTGCACACCCCGCTCAGGTGGCTGGCCTGATGCGCACGGTCTTCCCACACCCGGCTCTGCCTTCCCCAGCGGCTGCGACTGAGAAACGGGCAGATGGGGGTCCTCATCTGAAGACCTTTCGGCATCAGTCCTAGTGGGTGCTGCGTCCCAGGTCACCCCTCGGCCTGCCTGGAGCTGTGTGGAAATCCCAGCAGACCCGGGCCAGGGGGAGCAGGCTCTGCTTGGAAACAGGTGAGGAGATGCGATGGGGTGGACGGAGGGGGGGGGGCGCCGGGGGGCGCTTGTCCTCAGCCCCTCCCCGACGTGTGGTCTCCAGGAGCTTCTGAGTCCATCCAGCTCCCAGCAGCCAGGCCTTGGCACGCAGTGCCCCCTGGGGCCCAGGGTGACGCGGGGGAGCTGCCGCTGCCTTCACTGCGTTCTGCCCGCTGGAAACTGCAGGCCGGAGCCCGGGGTCCCCTTCATGGCTCCCCCACACCCACACACACAGTTGTTGATCTTAGAGCTAAAGAGGTGGCCCGCTGTGCTGGGTTTTAAACATTTAAAACAAAATTTTAAGGCATCTAACCTTTATTCAAAGTCTTACTCCATATCCCACAGTGGAAGCAGGGAAGACAGTCCCAGCACCCACCACCTGGCTGCCCTTTGCTTCCCAAACAACCCCAGGGCCCTTCCACAGAACCCTGGACCCCAGGGAACCCAGTTTGCAAACCGCTGCTCTAGTGGGGTCCATAGAGAAAATGCCTGGCCCAGGGCTGTGCAGGGAGTGGTGCAAGAATGAGGTTCTTATTTATAAACTTATTCATAAATAAGTTTATAGATGGCCCTTCTCCTGGGTCAAGTCAGAATCTCATTGTGTTCATTTGCCCAGAATATTTTGGCTGATTTGTTACTGGTTATTTGATTGGTCAGTTGGTCTGTGGGTTGGTTGAATCATTTATTAAGTTGCTCATTGAATGGTTGAGTGGTTGGTTGTCTGATTGACTGGTTCATTGATTAGTTGGCTAGTTGGTGGATTAGCTGCTTGGTTAGTCAGTTGGTTGATTGCTAGTCGGTTGTTTAGTTACTTGATTTTGTGGTTAGTTAGCTAGTTAGATGGTCAATTCCTTGATTGAGTGCTAGCTGGTTGACTAGATGACTGGTTTGTTCATTGTGAGAACTGCTTCATTGGCTGGTTGAATATGAGCGAGTGGCTGAGCTAGTGGTTGCATAGAGAGCTTTGGAAAAGGCTCTGAGATGTGAAGAAAGCATATGAAAGAGGCCCCACGCAGATGGCCTGAGGCGTGGCGGGAGAAGTGTGTTACTCAGAGATTTCGGGAAAAGGGAAGGCAGGAAAAGGAGCCAAGTTTGTCCATTTCTTGGCCTGGGAGGTGAGCCGACGAGACAATGAATACGAGTGTCCACTATAAACTGTAAAACCCAACACGCATGCCAGGCGTCCTCTCTCACTCCTTGGAGGTCCCCAGTGCCTCCTGGACGCTCCCACCCCTTCCCCCAAACAACTCCAATCCCTTACCCACCTGCTCTTCAGTCCTTCCCCCAGCCCGGGTGTCAGTGACGGATGGCACCCCATTTCCATAAATACAAATGCTTGGACATCTAGTTAAGAGATGGAGCGATAATGTGAGCATCTCACCCTCCCACAGCACAGGGGGCTGGGGCTGGAAGGCACGGTTCCCCTAGGACCCGGTCATCGCATCCCACGAGCAGCATTTACTCTGACTGAAGACATGGGCACAGTTCATGTAAACCTCACAGCATCCCTCTGCACTGAGCATTGGTGTAATCTCCACTTCAACGATGAGGAACCTGAGACTCAAGAGGAGCAGTGACCCAGTTCCCGCAGGTGCAGAGTGGGGGCCCCCCTGGAAACCGGGCTCCCAAGTAGAAGCTGCACACTCTCTCAGGACCTGAGGTCACTCAGGGGTCAGAGCCACCCCAGGTCCTCCACACCTGCCGATGTCCAACCCGCAGCCCCTTCTCCATCTCTTTGGGGTTCTGGATGCCAGTCCTGGTACCAGCGGGGAGCCCCGAGCATCACACGCCAACAGGCCGGGGCCACGGCCCAGCGAGCCCACGGCCGCCGCTCCCAGCCCTGCCTAATGAGCTCCGAACTCAGTTCCGCAGCAGCGATCAATTAATATGAGGACTCCCAGCTGCGGCCACGTCGTGCATTTATTTGCAAGATTAATGGCAGATACAAAATTGCTTCTTCACCTTGGGACTGTCGGGGAAATCTGGAGACACTCCGTGTGACAGCCCCATCAATATTCCTCGAGGCCACTCCTGCCTTTTGTCACACCCTTTGTTATCAGAATGTAGTGTTTTTCTGTCCACTCTTTGCAAGGCCAAGGGGGACAGGCCAGGGACGGGTGTGACTGCAGGATTGAGAGGAATGTCAAGCCTCCTCCTCCCTCCTACCCTCTTTGCCCTTCCCAGGGATGTTGGAAGAGAAAATGCTTTGGGGGGGAGAGGAAGGCAGGGAGGGACACAATGCCTACCCCTCATTCCTCCTCCAGAGACCAGCTTTAAAGGTTGAATAAAATCGTAGTAATAACAATACATTAACTCCCCATTATTATGGGCTCACCATGAGCCAAGCACTTCACATGGTCTCACTTCACTGTGGTAACAGCCCTGGGAGCATGGAACAGTTATTATCCCCATTTAGCAGATGAGAAGACCGAGGCACGAGATCGTACGGAGATTTAGCGGAGGAGCCTGGACTTGGACAGTGCTCTCTGACCCCAGAGCCTGCGCTCTTCCCTCCGGTCCACGTAACGTGGGCTCCATGAATCCGACCAGCAGATCCTGAAACAAAGACTTGGGTGAATGCAGCTTCATTTGGAGGCATCTCAGAAAGAGCAGGTGAGGGAGTGGGATCGGCAGACGGGGAAGGAACATGAGCTGGTGACCGTGATGGAAAGTGGGCTCAGGCCCGCTGGGGCCCTCCTAAGAATCATGGGAAGACGTACCTCTGAGTCAACCCACTGAAGGAATGAGAAGCTGTGTCTACGACATTCCATCTCCACTGTGTGAGGCTTGCCCCTGCGGTGTTACCTCTCTCACGACTCCAGACACTAGCCCGCAAGCTCCTACGTCTGGGAGGAAGACCTCATGCCAAGAACCAGAGTTACAGGGGCGTGAGGTACAGTTGGAAACACACTGGCCAAAAGAAGAAGTGCAAATGGCCAAGAAGCACATGAGAAGAATAAAACCACAACGAGATAACACTGCTTCCCACCAGAATGGCTACAACGGAAAAGTCCGATAATACCAAGTGTTGGCGAGGATGTGGGACAACTGGAATTCTCAGACACTCCTGGTGAGAATTTTAAAAAGTACAACCACTTGGAGAGAATGTCTGGCTGTTTCTTATTTTAAAAAAAAAAAACACGAAACAAGCATTTCCCCAAAGGCAGCTCTCTCTCCCTCTCTCTTTCTCTCTCTCTCTCTCTCTCTCTCTCTCTCTCTCTCTCTCTCTGATTTCAGAGAGGAAGGGAAAGGGAGAGAGAGATGGAAACATCAACGATGAGAGAGAATCATGGATCGCTGCCTCCAGCACGCCCCACACTGGGGATTGAGCCCACCACACAGGCATATGTCCTGACCAGGAGTTGAACCGTGACCTCCTGGTTCATAGGTCAGCGCTCAACCACTGAGCCAGGCCAGTTTATAGCATAATTTTTAAAACAATAAAAGCATAAAATAAAATGAAGGAAGAGCTCCAGTCTCAAAAGTCCTGCTCCGAGCCCTCCGCCGGTTGCTGGGGTGACTCTGCAGCTGGCATCTTCGGCCTCATCAGAGGACAGCAAGGGAGGTTCCAGGCCAGGCCGCACCTCTGGAGCTGCCAGTGCAGAGCAAACACTCGCAACCATCAGTGAGTTATGATTAAGAATGTTCCTCCTGGCCTCGGAGTGTTTTACTGGCTCGTCCATCAATCTGTCAGGGCGACCGTCAAGGCGAGAGCCGCGGAAAACTAACAGCTCACACCCAAACAGCCTGAATAATTCAAGGCCTGCCGTTGCCTCTGGACACTGGGAGTGCAAAGCTAATTTTGTGTTTATTTCCATGGCCTTGGGGGCTCAGAGAGAGGGACTAGGGCTTCCTTGGGCTAAGAGAGGACAGACCAAAGCTAAAGAGACCAGAGTATCTCATCTGATGTCTGGAACAGGACAAGGTACCCCCCAAACCAGGTCACTGCCAAGTGGGGGGCGGAGGGGCTCTGATCAGGAGGCGAGACTTGGGTCTGCCACTTCTCGGCTGTGTGGTCCTGAGCAAGTCGTTTACCTTTCTGAGCCTCAGTTTCCCCAGATACAAGATGTGCCTGGTGATAGGGCGCTTATACTGTAGTTGCGGTGTGCCAGGCCGCATTCTAATCACATGTATACATGAACTCATTTACTACCCAAACCACCCTGTGCAGTGGTGACGACATCATCCCCATTGTACAGATGGAAGGACTGAGGCCCAGAGCTCACCCTGGGGAATGAAACCACCTATCTCATAGGGTGAAGATTAAAGGAGACAGAGCTTAACGGATCTCCCGACATCATGCCTGGCACACAGTAGGTGCTCAATAAAGCACAGCCACTGCTGCTGCTATTATGAAAATATCATTCGGGGTCCTTATCACCTTGCTTGCGTATAATGGCAAACACCTGTGTGGTTGTAGATGGGGAAACTGAGGCAGGGAGCAGGGTGAAATGGCTTGCCAGAGGCCATGTACATGTACCCTAAAGACCACGGCTCTGTCCTCAGATCCTCCTAAGCTCCCTTTACAGAGCTGTTGAGGCTGAGCCCCAAGTGTCATAGGCCAAACAGACCCCCAAACACAGATATGGATTCTAAAGGAAAGACCTGGATTTACTATCTGCCACTCCCCAGTTGTGTGAGTAGAATAGGGTCCTTCGCCTCAGCTTCCTCGTCTGTAAAATGGAGACTCGGCACTGCCAGCATGGCTCAGTGGTTGAGTATCAGCCTATGAACCAGAAGGTCACGGTTCGATTCCCGGTCAGGGCACATGCCCGGGTTGTGGGCTCAATCCCCAGTGTGGGGCACGCAGGAGGCAGCCGATCAGTGATCTTCTCTCATCGTTGATGTTTCTATCTCTCTCTCCCTTTCCCCTCCTCTCTGAATCAATGAAAATATGATCTTTTATAAAGATCAGAGGCAATATATAAAGCACTTGACACGTGAAGGCCCTCCATGGGAGGCAGCTTTAGGTGACTGTTTCCTCAAGATGCACAAAAGCAATGCTTTCTGTAAAGACCACCCCCCACAGAATAGCCTCCCGGAGTCTGTTTCTCTGATGGATGGAGGAATCGATGGTTTCACGGAGTCAGAAGCGAGAGCCTGGGGCTGGGAGACGCACAGGAAGCGCCCGGGCTGCATTAAGCAGAACGCATGCCCGCATCTGTGCGTGCACACAGGACCATGCTGACCTGAAGAATCAGCCCCCTGGGAGACAGGCTGCCTAGCCCCCGGGCACCCAGCCAGGGCCTGCCCAGCCCAGCTGCCCTGGGCACCGCAGGAGCGAATCTGCCAAGTCCTTATTGCTCTAGGGCTGATGTGACTCGGGAACAAGCTACTTCAAAGTGCCTCTCAGTCAGGGGACCACAGTCCTCAGGTGGCAAAACGTCTTTGGCCCCATTGTGCTGAGCAGGGAGGGGCCCGGGCAAATGACACCTGCAGTTCATAAACTGCTGGTAAATGGTGTTCTGTTGCAACCTCCTCTTCCACGGCCACGGCCACGCTGGACTCTGGACTTCCGTTTCCCTTTAATGCAACAGAGGGGAGTTCGACTAGCTGACTTCTAGGACGCTTCCCACGCCGACGCTGTATAGTTCTATGTACAAC